CCCAAATTCCCCCAGACCTTGGGGACACCCCAAATTCCCTCAGACCTTGGGGACCCCCCCCCAATTCCCTCAGACCTTGGGGACCCCCCACCCAATTCCCAGATCCGCCCCGTCCCCCCAAAAATACGGAGCCCCCACCTTGGTCCTGCCCCTCTACCTCCCCAAGACCCCCAAAATTCCCCCACCAGCCTTGGGGACCCCCCGGACCCTTCCCCAAATTAGGAACCCCCTCCCCAATCCTTGGGGACCACCCCAGACCCTTCCCCACATTAAGAACCCCCTCCCCACACCCCAACCCCCCTCCCCACACCCCAAAACCCCCTCCCCACCCCAAGAGGAACCCCCCAAAAACCCCAAAACCTCCACCACAAGAATCCCCTCCTGCTCGGGGGGGGATTTGGGGGCGCCGGGGGGGTCCCGGGGGGGTCCCGGGGGTCCCGGGGGTGCCGGGGGGCTCCGGGCTCACCCGAATACTTGCCCCCCTTGCTGCGTTTGATGAAGCAGAGGATGAGGAGGAGGAGGAGCAGCAGCACCGCGGCGCTGACGAAGCCGATGAACCAGCCCTCGGTGGCGAAACCGCCCGCGGGGCGCGGCAGCACTGCGGGGGCAGAACCCCAATTTGGGGAACCCCCCCGGGGTTTTGGGGACACCCCACCGGGGTTTTGGGGATACCCACGGGGTTTTGGGGATACCCACGGGGTTTTGGGGACACCCACGGGGTTTTGGGGACACCCACCGGGGTTTTGGGGATACCCACCGGGATTTTGGGGACACCCCCCGGGGTTTTGGGGACACCAACGGGGGTTTTGGGGACACCCACCGGGGTTTTGGGATACCCACCGGGGTTTTGGGGATACCCACCGGGGTTTTGGGGACACCCACGGGGTTTTGGGGATACCCACCGGGGTTTTGGGGATACCCACGGGGTTTTGGGGACACCCACAGGGGTTTTGGGGACACCCACCGGGGTTTTGGGATACCCACCGGGGTTTTGGGGATACCCACCGGGGTTTTGGGGACACCCACAGGGGTTTTGGGGACACCCCACCGGGGTTTTGGGGATACCCACCGGGGTTTTGGGGACACCCACAGGGGTTTTGGGGACACCCCACCGGGATTTTGGGGATACCCACCGGGGTTTTGGGGACACCCATGGGGATTTTGGGGATACCCCACCGGGGTTTTGGGGACACCCACCGGGGTTTTGGGGACACCCACGGGGTTTTGGGGATACCCACCGGGGTTTTGGGGACATCCACCGGGGTTTTGGGGATACCCACGGGGTTTTGGGGACACCCCCCGGGGTTTTGGGGATACCCACGGGGTTTTGGGGATACCCACCGGGGTTTTGGGATACCCACCGGGGTTTTGGGGACACCCCCCGGGGTTTTGGGGACACCCACGGGGTTTTGGGGATACCCACCGGGGATTTTGGGGACACCCACCGGGGTTTTGGGGACACCCACGGGGTTCTGGGGACACCCCACCGGGGTTTTGGGGACACCCACCGGGGTTTTGGGGACACCCACGGGGTTCTGGGGACACCCCACCGGGGTTTTGGGGACACCCCCCGGGGTTTTGGGAACACCCCACCGGGGTTTTGGGGATACCCACTGGGGTTTTGGGGACACCCACGGGGTTTTGGGGATACCCACGGGGTTTTGGGGATACCCACCGGGGTTTTGGGGACACCCCCCGGGGTTTTGGGGATACCCACTGGGGTTTTGGGGATACCCACGGGGGTTTTGGGGATACCCACTGGGGTTTTGGGGATACCCACGGGGTTTTGGGGACACCCACGGGGTTTTGGGGACACCCCACCGGGGTTTTGGGATACCCACCGGGGTTTTGGGGATACCCACCGGGGTTTTGGGGACGCCCATGGGGATTTTGGGGACACCCCCCGGGGTTTTGGGGACACCCACGGGGTTTTGGGGATACCCACCGGGGTTTTGGGGACACCCCACCGGGGTTTTGGGGATACCCACGGGGGTTTTGGGGAACCCCCCGGGGATTTTGGGGAACCCCCCGGGGATTTTGGGGATCCCCGTGGGGTTTTTGGGGAACCCCGCAGGATCTCAGGGCTCTCTAGGGGGATCTGGGCTGGATTTTGGGGTGATTTTGGGGCTTTCTGGGGGTGATTTTGGGGCTTTCCAGGGTGATTTTGGGGATTTTTTTGGAGTGGCTTTGGGCTGGATTTTGGGGTGATTTTTGGGGGATTTTTTGGGTAATTTTGGGGTTATTCTTGGGCTGATTTTTGGGGTGATTTTGGGGGTTTTTGGGGCTCACTGGTGCCGTTGGTGTGCACCTCGCTCTCCCAGAACGCCACGCGCTCCCCGGGATGGANTGATTTTTGGGGTGATTTTGGGGGTTTTTGGGGCTCACTGGTGCCGTTGGTGTGCACCTCGCTCTCCCAGAACGCCACGCGCTCCCCGGGATGGATTTTGGGGCTGATTTTTGAGGTAAATTTGGGGGTTTTTGGGGTGATTTTTGGGGGGTTTTTGGAGGTAAATTTGGGGTGA